ATATATATATATATATATATATATATATATATATATATATACTGTATATGATGCTCAGGGGGCACAGTTACTGAAAGTCAGCAGCTCAGGGGCCGGACATCAAGCGATTTAAAGTCATTATGTAAATAAACCAAGTATTACAGTGATCTGTTACTTTTAAATTTGTTTATTTTGTTGCATTGAATCATAAATACAATAAACAGAACCCAAACCCCTTTATTTTTATTTTTTAATGAACTCATTGGTGGGCCGGACTGAAGTCACCCGCGGGCCAGAAGTGGCCCATGGGCCACCAGTTGAATAGCCCAGATCTAAATGTTGTCTGGTGTCTCGCTCATTCTTGATTTTTTTTCTCCTCTGCAGCTCAAATGGGTGAAACTTTTTTCAATATAATTTTATCCAACTTAATTCAGCTAATGTTTATTGATAACCACGGATCCATTTTTATTAATACGCTCTCTTGCATTGGAAGATAATCCCACGTCATGTTTATAAATCTGTGGTTTGATTCCAAGCGTTTGCTTTTCAACCCCAGGAGGAGTGAAGTATTACGTGGACCCGTCGACCTATGAAGACCCCAGTGAGGCGGTGAAAGAATTCGCCCGTGAGATCGATCCCGCTCACCTCAAGATCGAGGAGGTGATCGGAGCAGGTACAGCTGAGATCCTCTAAAGTCGTGTTTGAACCGTCAACTCCAGTGTGACCAGTTTCCTCTCCGCTCCAGCCCAGTTTGGTGAGGTGTCCCGTGGTCGTTACCGGCCCGTGGGCCGAAGGGAGGTGTTGGTGGCGGTGAAGACCCTTCGCTGGGGGGCGTCCGACAGAGAGAGGGGCATGTTCCTCAGTGAAGCGGGGGTCTTGGGGCAGTTTGATCATCCCAATGTGCTGAAGCTGGAGGGTGTTGTAACTGGTTCACCTCCGGAGAGGATCATCACGGAGTTCATGGAGAACGGACCCCTCGATGGCTTCCTTCGGGTGAAAAAACATTTTCAAACCTCCATGTTTTTCTTTTTTGTAAGATGGCACTTGCTCCATGTGATCCCATGCTGCAGCTAAGATACTCCATTCTGCTTCCTTCGCAGGAGAACGAAGGCCAGTTCAGTGTCCTCCAGCTTGTTGGGATGCTGAGGGGAGTTGGCGCAGGGATGCGTTATCTCTCCGAGAGAAACTTTGTCCACAGAGACCTGGCTGCCAGAAACGTGTTGGTCAACTCCAACCTGGTCTGCAAAGTGTCCGACTTTGGCCTCTCTAGACTCATGAGGGGCCTGGACCAGAACATACCGACATACACGGCCTCTCTGGTGCGTTCAGGGACCTGGCGCTTCCTTCAGTTTGGTTTATTTGACCACTGATTTAAGTCAGTGTTGTCTTTGTCTCCTCCATCAGGGCAGTAAGATTCCTGTGAGGTGGACGGCGCCGGAAGCTTTTCAGCATCGCAAGTTCAGCTCAGCCAGTGACGTGTGGAGCTTCGGTGTCTTAATGTGGGAGGTGATGTCCTACGGAGAGCGTCCCTACTGGGACATGAGCAATCAGGAGGTGGGTGTGCAGAGATCAGCTTAGTTTGTTTATGAGCGCGTTAAAAAGGGGCTTAGGGGCTTTAATTCCAGAGATTTAAGTTAATTTATCAATCTTATGTAATCTTGTCAGCTTTTGTACAATCTGTTAGTGCTCAGAGTTTGTGCTGTGAACAACTTTCAGCTACTACCACGTCAAACTTCAGCTCCATATCTGTCAAACTGACTGAGCTGTAGCTGTTTTTGTGTTGGCTGAGGTCAGTTTGCTGAGTGGCCATCTTGAATTGCGTTGACTCCAAAAGTTAATCAGTGAAAATAAAGCATCTAATGATGACTTTGTGAGAGTTTCCTTCATATTCATCCAGTGGTCCATCAGATTTTTTGCTAACAGGCAGAGAGCACTTGCATACAGACACACAGCAAAGACTTTATCACCCGCCTTTTTAATGGGAAGCAATAAGAAATGTGCATGTAGAAGAAAAACTGTAAAACAATAAAAATTGCACCTTTTTTAAAATAAAATTTAAAAATAATTTATGTAAGTCTACCTATATTCCTAAAAAGTAATAAAGAAATAAGCTGGTTAAAATAATTTATCGTTAAAAAAAGCTGCAGTTTTAGATCTTTTTCCAGCAGAATAAAAGTCCAGACCTGGACTGCTCCAGGTCTGCATGCTGATCCAGTATTTGAATAAATGCTCTCTGACTTTTTTTCCTTCCTCCTGAATATTTTATCAGTTTATCAAATGCCAACCGGCTGAAATCTCCATAATTTCCCTCCGGGTGCTTTTACAGCCGCTCAGTGATCAGTGACCTTTTCTGTGAGCCAGCCGCACAGAGCTGCTCCACCATCTGCCCTACTTCTGCTGAACGTCTTCCTCTCCGTGTCTGCAGGTGATGAAGGCGGTAGCGGATCAGTACCGGCTCCCGCCCCCCCACAGCTGCCCTCCCGCCCTTCACTCCCTGATGCTTCAGTGCTGGCAGGCGGAACGAGCGGACCGGCTGGGCTTCGACTCCGTCCTCTCCTCTCTGGACCGGCTCATCCGGCACCCGGCCTCCCTGAAGGCCGAGCCGACCCGGTGAGCTGAGGCTGCTTCCAAACGCGCCGCCAGCAGCAGGTGACGGTCCCTTCCATCGTATTTATGAATCCTTTTTGACATTTACAGAAGCTGTTCGCAGCCGCTGCTCAGCCCCACGCCCACGGACCTGTCGTCTGTGGCGACGGTCAGCGACTGGCTCAAAGCTCTGAAGATGGAGCGGTACCAGGACGAGTTTGATCAAGCGGACCTGGACTCGTTAGACAGAGTCAGCCGACTCACTATGGAGTGAGTTATTTAAATAATCTCTTAATTTTTTTATTTAGCTCGACATAAAATGCTAATTTTTCTCATCTAATCTCTTCCCCAGAGATGTTCAGAACCTCGGGGTGAACCTGCTGGGACACCAGAGGAAGATCGTCAGCGCGGCCCAGCAGCTCAGGGCCTTCCTGACGCAGGGCCAGGTGGAGGTCTGACACCCACCAGCAGCACCGTCAGCCCCGCGGGTTCCTCTGATCGTCGCTTCTGGTTCTGCAACACTTTAAAGTCCGACGGAGCACATTCTAAACCAAATCAGCCAACAGTGACACTCTGCACTGCAGGTTCTGGTCAGATGAACCCCACAACCAGAAGGGAAGGAGAGATGGAGTCTCCCAGTCAGTCACTGGAGACAAACACATGAAGGGAGGTCAAACCGGAGTTAGGACGCTAAAGATGTTTTGTACTTTTCACTCAATTTCACTTTATTGTGTTTGGCCTTCTTGACTCCACATCGATCTCAGCCTTTCTTCCACCGTTTCCCTCCCTGAAACTTTTTATTTTTATTTTTAAGTCCTCAAGATCTTCCTTTGCAAAGATTTGCGTGAAGACAATCAAAGCCTTTTCTGCTTTCTTTGTTTATTTGTAAAGTTTCATCACTTCCTCTTTACATAAATTCCTTTGCAGCATCTGGCAGTGAAATCAAACTAAGTTTCATTTGCTGCTAGAAAATAAATTGTATAGATTTTTTTTTTTTAGGTTTTGAGCACAATTGCTTTAAAACACAAGTCCAGCACAAGGAAACTCAGTCTGTAGAAACTAAGCCATGTGTTGAGGCATATCCAGGGTTTGAAAGCAGCTGTTTTATTTATTTTTTATTTTTTTGTACGATTCACTGTTGAAGCTCTGAAGCTGAAAAAGTTCACCTCAGCTGCAAACATTTGCCTAAACGAGGAGTGCAGCGCCCTTATGTGTACGTTTCACTCTTCACCTCTTTTTGTTTGTTTGCCTGAGTCACGGAAGCGTTGTAAATCAGTGGAATGGGAAGGACGGATAAAAATCTGAGCTGATTTACACTTGAAGGGAGCAAAAAATGCTGCTGAGGTGCCCGTTTGTACCATCTGCGTGTGAGAGGGATGGAGTGTGTGTGTGTGTGTGTGCGTGTGTGTGTGTGTGTGTGGTGTGGGTGAGATGACTGTCTGTTTACTTGTACGAGTGTTCACAACTGTTATGTAACTGTGCAAATTTGTAAAATAAATATGATTTTATTTAAAAAATATACATTCTTTGGTGTATTTGTTGTTTTTTTAACTGCAGCTTTCAGGAATGTGAAATAAAAAGTTTGCATAATGTTTAAAAAAAACATAAAAATAAATTATATTTATTTGTAACAGTTAAATTATTAACTTAATAACATAACGTCCTGACGCTCAATAATCCACGTAGAAAAATCTAACAAGGTTAAGTCAGGTCATCTGGATGGATTCTTCAATGTGGATGGAAGAATCCATCCAGATGATCTGAAGTAACCTTGTTAGATTAATAACATAAAAAAAATACTTTATGTAACTTTGAATTGTTACTACTTGTTTAAAGTCAGCAGATGGTTGTATTACAACAACTTCTAATAAATCAAGCTTGTTGCAGCTGAATAAAATAACACTCAGTGGTCATAATTTTAGGTTTGGTGACACTTACTGCAGTATTTTTAATAACAAAGTTTCAAAAAGATCCATTGTCTGGAAACAGAGTCGTGCATCACCATAGTTTACCCACAGGGTTGAACAGCAGACATCACACTGACTTGTTTTAATATTAAAGGAGCAGTTTGTATATTTTGAAGTGTTTGTGGGAATACTATCAGTACTTAATAGGCTCTTGTTTCAGCTAACGGCTCTCTTTTGAGGTCAAGACCAAAGTGGATTTATGAAAAGTCTCATAGTAGTTTTTTTTTTTATACGCCTTAATGCTGCCGTCACTTTGCACAAGATGGTCCTTCACCCTGAAGTCTGAGCCAGTCTGTGCGTAATGAGCATGTGAGAGAAACAATCCAATGCAAAAGCATGGTGGCGAAACAATCATAAGCGTTATAGTGCTTCATTTGAACATGTTTTATAATTGATTTTAATACAACTTTACTTTCCTCTTAGTTTCATATGGACCGACTCGAGCTCAAAAACAAAACTTTACTTATATTTTTCTTCTTTCAGCTGCTCCCTTCTTCAGGGGTCACCACAGCGAACTAACTCGCATGAAGACTTGACAATTGTTTTTACGCCGGATGCCCTTCCTGATGCAACCACAGACCACCGAGCTACCACAGCCCTGTGTGTGGAGCAGAGAGCTGCCATCTAGGACACCTTGGGGGAGCAGATGTTGGGGGTGGAGGGCCTTGCTCAGGCACCCAGAGTGGAGCAAGTGAGGATGGAGGCAGGTGTGGGTGTTTCACCTTTTCCATCCACATTTTGATGTCGGTCCAGGGAGTCGAACCGGTGAGCCTCCGATCACAGGCCCACCTTCTCTAACCTCAGCGCCACCACTCGCCCAAAAAACTAAAGCTTCTTGTAAAACAAAACAAAAAGGCTGACGTGGCAGCAGAACCTAGAGCTGAGTGCACGCACAGAAAACAAACTGACGCAGCATAAAAAGAGCAACGCTTGAAGAAAAACGGAACGATTGTAAAGACTGGGACGGATGAGAGAAATGGCTGCAGCAGCGACGGGCGAAACAAGGAGAAGGTGTAGATGGACGTGGCAGAGGAGAAGCAACTGATGGCACGAAGATTAAACAAATGAAAACACAAAGGAAACAAAACACGATCAGAAGTGAACGAACCCAACAACACAAAAACAAAACAACAGATTCAGACCCTGACAGGTGACGGACCACTGAGGATACAATCTTCAGGGTCAATAATCAAAGTTTTATGTCAAACCAAACAAAAAAAAATCACTCAGATGTAAAAGTGGCATAGATATTTAAAAAAAAATAAAGCAAATACCTGAGCCGCTATAAAATACTTGAGCTTGCGGTGTTTCAAGATGGCAGAAATCTGTTTTGGTCTGGAACCAGCTGTTGTCTCATCAACCCTGAGAGAACTGCTCGATGTTTCAAACTGATCAAATTCTGACTCGAAGAAAAGACGATAACTTCACACAACACTTTTAAAAATCCAAACTACACGTATTCCTTTTTGTTGTTCTTGTTTTCAGTTTTATAATTTTCACAACTTTCACTTCTTATTTTCTGTCTCAAGCGAGCGTTTCCGAGTCATACCCACTAAACAAAGTTTGCACTGAGGATTTTTGTAAAGACAAATTGATTCTGGTAATGAATTGTTTTAGTCGCAGATTTTGAAGCAACAAATGCGTTCGTGGGGATTTCGTTTCAAGCAAGCTTTGCATTGTTCAGCAAAGCAATGTCAGATTATTGGCATCCTTCAGCAGTTGCAAACAGACTTCTGCTGCAAACATGATGGTGCATCAGGAAACTAAAGTTTTCCAACCTGAGGCCATGGTCCTCGGTCAGAAAAGGTCGGACTGTACGAGTGAGGTGCTGCCGCAAACGGAGGAGTTCAAGCATGGATTGGTGCATCGCTGCTACTTCGCTGTATTGTGAACTCTGTGCTGGTCCTTTGTGGAGAAGGGGAAACTGATCTGCCAGGTGAAGCTCTCTGTTGAACTCTGGGTAATAACTAAAAGAACAAAAGCTCATATACAAATGATCGAAATGAGTTTCCTCCTTAGTGTGGCTGGGAGATGATGTGGAGACAGAGAAGTTCAGTATCCGAGTCGAGCTGCTGCTCCTCCACATCGAGGAGCTAGTCGAGGTGGTCCAAGCATCTGATAGGGTTACCCCCCCCTGTCGTCTCCCTAGAGACATGTTCCAAGTATGTCCAACTGGGAGGAGACACTGGGGAAGCCCTAAGACATGTTTCTCAGCCACTCTGGAAACACCTTGGAATCCTCCATGAACAGCTGGAAGACATGTCTGTGGCTTTACGTGCTAAAAAAAACAAAAGCTCCTGCACTGAATTTTTTATTTTTATGCGCATGTTGTTGGGCATGAAGCTGTGCTTACAGTGCATGTTACAAACCTACCTATACATCAGTATAATCTGACAAGTCAACATTTATTTCTGCATTTTAAGCATTAGTTGGCCAACATGTGTAAAAAGATGTGAAATATGACATTTTACCGATCAGTTATAAATATAAACTACAGTTTACAATAAATCACCACAAAACAGGATTAAATTGAAATTTAATATTTTGCATTTTATTATGAGAATTGCAATAAAAATCTTTGTTCTTCTGGAATATTTCTTTAGCAGGTTGTTCACCTTGAAGGAGGAAATAACACCTTCACGGTGCCATAGAGTCAACTTTGTGTTCCTCAGATCAGCAGTTTTTTTGTGTTTTTTCATCAGAATCTCAGTTTGAGATCTGTCTGGATCAGCAGGAGGCCAGAAACACACACGGGTGTCCCACATAACCCACAGCTGATATCTGAGCGGATCTGAAACGATACCAGAAGCACAAACACAAACGCCCACAATGTATTTTCTGACAACATCCATTTGTGATTCTTCATGGAACACATATTTACTATCAGAAAAATATGTTTAAAACAACAAAACATGACAAAACACTCAAAATTTGTTAATTTTTTTAAACGGATGCATATCAGGTTGTGATGTTGATCTAAAAATATATAAAATCAATACTGTCTGCTCATTATAAACAGATTTTTGTTGATCCGAGGTCACGTACAGTTGAGAGAGAAACAATGTCCTCATCACACTTTTTAGGTGGCATTTTTCAGATAAATAGACAAAGTTTAAATGAGAACGTACCAGTCACATTGACTAGCCTGCCTGGACATTGTGTATCCTGTGCTTGGTGGGACCTGGACCTGATGGAGCCTAGGCCCAATGAAACCAAGGCCTGATGGAACTTGGGCCAGGTGGGACCTGGGCCTGGTGGTGGCTGGGCTTGGAAGTGGCTGGGACTGGTGGAGCTTGTGCCTGCTAAAGCCTGGACCTGGTGGAGCCTGGTCCTAGTGTAGTCTAGGCCTGGTGAAGCCTGGGTCTGGTAACTGCCAGTGGATCCTGCTGCTCTGTTTGACTCAGTATTTGGCTGTTAGGTCCTTTATTGGCGTTTTGTACAATTTTTTTGTTTGTTTTGGAGGGCAAGTATACAGTGTTAATGCTCTGGACTGATTACCGTAAGTTCTGGTATAGAATACACACCCCAACATGGGAAAGTTTTTCATTTTTTTATTTATTACGTAAGTAACGTTTATTTATAAAGTGATTTTCACAGACATAAAATCACAAAGCGATGTACAATAAAAATCAACGTTAAAATATCCAAGGAATAAAACAAGCATAAGAAACACAATAAAAAATTCATGACATAAAAGCCTGGGAAAATAAAAGTGTTTTCAGCTGCTTTTTAAAAACCTCCACAGAGTCAGCAAAATGAAGCTGCAGGAGCAAACTGTTCCACAGCCTTGTGGCCACTGACTGAAAGACCCAGTCCCCTTTAATTTTCAGCCACGTACATGGACCATCGTGACGTTCAGGATTAAAATCTTGCGCTCCAAACAATTTCCAAACAGGTTTTCTTCACAGGTCACTTGAAACAATGTGTAGAAGTTGCTGAATTATCATAGAGGCCATGCAGGTTTTAGTGGTAGTTGGAAGAATGTGGACAGGCCTGGTGATGGATGGGGGGGTGGAGATCAAGACTGATGGAATTAAGCCGAAAAATTCAAATCAGCATGATGGAGAAGTTCTGGGTTAGCTCAAAGCAGAACTTTCTTTGTGGGATTTCTGACCAGTGGCTAAAATCTACCTGCTCATTATATCCTCACTGTCACTGTCTCACCTGTTCATCCTCCCTCCCCACCCATTCATTCAAAATACTGCTGCATGTCTCCACCCCCCCTCCCACCAGGGCCAGGTGATATATAAGGAGGATGCCACCAGGACCTTCGTCTCTTCAGGAGCATCCTAAACCTGGTGTCCACTTCAAGGGTTATAACTAAAAAGTTGGAGGAGAGAAGCAGTACTTTTATTATTTGAGGGTATGACAGACAAACTTTAAAGTTTAGACCTTCGTCAATTATTTTTCTTATGGCTGTTTTTTTTTAATTATTATTATTATTGAAAATAATCATAACCCTTTCTGTAGTTTTTCCAGGTGAATTTCAAGTGAATGGCACCGTCTCTGGCCAGATCTGCTCCGAGCGAACTCAACCACTGGTGGAGCCAGCTGAAGTTTCGCCTCCAGAACAAGAAAGGATGGAACGAGTTGTTGGACGAGACGTTCTTCTTCTACACAAAAAAGTAATGGAATTTGTATTGCTGTTGGCTGCTTTACACTGTGAGATCAGACTCAAAGTTGTACATTGAGTCTCTGTCCGTTTGGTCAACAGCATAAATGACATTCCTCTCTTCTACGCGGCTAAGAACAACAGTCCTGGCTGCATCAAGAAACTTCTCAGCTGTTCGTCCACCAACATCTTTGAAAGAGGTAACACAAACTCAAAGTCTCATTTTATCATTACAGTGGGTGATCTTTAATGTTAACGCTCTCACTCAGGAACCCTCGGAGAAACAGCTCTTCATGTCGCTGTGATGAACGACAACTTGGACGCCGCTGTGGCTCTGATGGACGGAGCGCCTGAACTCATCAACGAGCCTATGACCTCTGAGCTTTTCCAAGGTTCTCACCCAGAAACACCAAAACCTATAGAAGCAGACACATCTTAAATATTGGAATCTTATTGTTTACTGTTAAAGATGCTTCATTTCCATTGGGTCAGGTCAGTTTAAACAGATATACAACGATCTCCTCATATTCTGTTCTTCCCTGGAAGGAGAGAAAACAAAAGCTGACATGAACTGTTTTTAGCCGTTGGGTTCAACAGGGTGTGTTTCAACTGAGCATGATGGTAAGGTTATTACAAACTGCCTCTGACGTTCAGTTTAACCTCCAAACTTTACATTCAACTGAAGATAAAACCACACTCTGACAGATTTGGTTCTGGTACCAATCACCTGTCAAGCCCAGTTGAGCCGTAGCTGCAGTTTTTGTTTCACTGCAAACACATAAACTTTATTATATAACTGAGTTTGAAGATTAAAATTATAGTTTAGATGTTTTGTTTTTCGGGCTTATGACAATTTAATATCTTTAGAACGACTTTTGTTTGGAGAAACAGAGTTGAACTGCGACAAAACTGACAAGCTCACGTCTTGTCCGAGCGAGGCCAAGACCTCTCCAAACATTTTTAATCAGTAGTTTGTGTGAAAGCCATTTTAGAAACCTGTACAGCTCCATCAGCTTCACATTCTTTGGTCGTTCCAGCAGAAATGTTGTGATTTTTCAGCCAGAAATGCCCCAGACTGCACCAGAAGCTAGCTGCTGCAGACACTAGCTTTAGCAGTTGTGCTTGTACATATTAAACTGGAAATGTAATCACAAAATAAAGATTAAAATGCTTTCACACAAACTTCTATGACTTTTTTTAATTGGAGTTGTTCTAAGAATGCATCAATTCACTGTCCTTTCTTGAATTTGCTGTTGGGGTTAGCCGTTAGCTCATCAATCAGGTAAAAAAAAAAAAAGCTCTATTTCTCCAAACTGAGGCCCTTAAAGAGTTTTCAGCAACAGGTAAGATATTTACTGTTCAAACAATTAATAGGTCATGGTCAAGGTTTCTTTATCATCCTTCGCATTGCATGTGGTGAAACGAAATTGTCTACACAGGGTCCCAGTTACATCCAACAAAAGTATAAATTATAAAATATAAACATTGATAAGTAATAAGCTATTTAAAATCTCTGCTCTTAGGATATAAAAGTAGAATAATATAATTTGCTTGTTTCTGAGTTTAGAGGTTGTCTGAAGAAAGTTTGTTTGAATTGTTCCTGAGTCACTCCACAAGCAGCTAAAAATAACAGATTTTGAGTTAGGATTACTTTACATGTTAGCTTTGTTTAGAGGGCTTATTCAATGAGTTGTTAGTTAAAATTAACTGTTACTTTAATTTTAGTTCATATGAATCAGGTCAAATTAATGGAACAATGTCTAATAATAGTTAGACATGTTTAGGACCAGCCTGCATCAAAAAGGCTTTCACAAAAAAACAAGACAAGTAGCAGGAGGCAGTAAACATTTTTTATAACAATGAATAATCAATCAACTTGTTTAGAGGTTTCCTCCAGAATAAGTCCTTGGAGCATCTGTTTGAGAAATGTCTACAACTCTATCTGTCTCCACCTCAGGTATCACTCCTCTCCACATTGCTGTGGTGAATCAGAACATCAACCTGGTTCATCAGCTGATTAGACGTGGAGGTGACGCCGCCACGCCTCGAGTCACCGGCCTGTATTTCAGGAAGAGGATAGGAGGCCTTATGTACTGCGGTGAGTCAGCAGGACGCCACAACAAACTGGAGCAGATGCACAGATTATCAGCAGCTCAGATGTTATACAAGAAAAGTGAAGCTGCTTTGGATAAAACAGTTAACTGGATGAAATGTTATGGTGTGTATTTTATGTAAAGCTACAAAAACAGATGTTTTTTTCTGTTTGGCTCAACAGGTGAGCACATTCTGTCCTTTGCTGTTAGTGCTGGGAACGAGGAGATCATCAACATGTTAATCGATGCAGGAGCCAGCACCAGAGTCCAAGATTATCGAGGTTGGGAAACCCAGATCATGAGTTGGAGAGAACTAAGTCATATTTAAAACAAGGCAAAACAGCAACTACACACAGACCCACATGGTCTGCACAAAATAATTTAGATTTCTGGAATTTGTTTATCTGTAGAATTGTGTAAAACGTACCCTCAATAATTAAATAAATTGTCTTTATATCAGTTCAGTGTGTTTATAGTTCAAGCTCAAATTTAAGAATCTTTATTATCCCCAAAGGGTAATTTGTTTCACAGTCCGTAGGCACACAAAACGTCCATACTACAGGCTGTACTAAATTTAATTTCATTGTGCTTCAGTGCAATGACAAAAAAGCTGATTCTGATTCTACCAGACAAGACATTGAGACATTAAAATAACAGTAGAAATCGTCATTGTTCATTAAGAAGCCTGACCGCTACAGGGATGAATGAGTTTTTCAGTCTGTTCATCCAACATCTGGGCAGCTGATACCTACGTCTATATGGAAACAACTTGAACTCACCATGGAATGGGTGATCAGGATATGCCAGAATATATATACAGTATAATACAAAAAATGTTTTGTAAGCTCAATCGTCCAGGTAGCTAAAAACAAAAATGGTTCAATCATGTCATCTGGACCTGTTTCTTTAAGTGAAGAAACGTTTCATTCGCCATCCAGAGGACTTCGTCAGTCTGCGGCCAGTCAACCAAATCTGTCCCATAGGTCGCCTTCATTGCTGTGTTTCAAGCCAACCTCCTGTTGGAATCTCAGATGCAGGCTTTTGGCCTTGGTTGTCCACAAGCTGTTTCTGTGAGTAGCAAGTTGACCACCTAGCCTAAAACACTTGATTGCTGTTAATGGTGATTGATGGTTTCAGATGGGTGTGCTCTGTTTGCATATGTTAAAAGCCTGCTTCTGAGATTCCAACAGGAGTTTGGCTTGAAACATAGCAATGAAGGCTACCTATGGACGGATCTGGATGACATGCTGCAGACTGACTAAGTCCTCTGGATGGCGGGTGAACCGTTTCTTCACTTAAAGACACAGGTCCAGATGAAATGATTTAACCATTTTTGTATATATAATACAATTCCTATTCACAAGAAAAGTCATTTCAGATCTAATTCAAATCCAAATAGATGAAATAAAAATTAAAACTGTTAGATTAGATTAAATCCAATTTTTAGAGTCAATTTAAATTCAGTTGTAAATTTGATACAATCTGAGCCAATAAATTCTGTAAATTACAAAATATTAAACAGTTAAAGAATGTCTAAGAATTAAATTTTATAAATCCATTTAGGTGAAAAATACAAATAATTTGAGGTTTGTTTAGTAAATTGACCTTTAAATGACATTTAGAGAAATTTTTAGGTACAAAATCACCAAAGATACAAGGACTCGTCATGAACAACCATGAAAACAAGAATGTTGCAGTATGTTAGTTTAGTTGCATTTTTTTCCTGTTTTTATTTTTTTTTTTACCAACAAAAACAAAACTGCTTTACAAAAATAATTCAGTGAAACATTTTGCCCAGAGCTTTCTTTTGCATCTCAGAGAACACGTTGAAAGGAGAAGCTTTTAAACAAAAACAAGTCCTTGTTCATTTCTATTTTTGTCTGTTGTTTACGAGTAACTGTCCTGCTTTTTTGTCTTCCAGGAAACACGTTGCTTCACATTTTGGTTCTGCAGCCCAACAAGACCATTTCATGCCAGGTCATGGACCTGATAATGACTCGCGATCTGGAGCTGGACCAGCCGTTGCCCCTCGACATGGTGCCCAACTACCGAGGCCTCACACCTTTTAAACTGGCTGCCAAAGAGGGGAACATCGTGGTGAGTTCAGGGCTTGGGAGGAACCGCAATGTGGGGGATTATTTCGCTAATCTTTTTGAGCGCGCCCTGATTCCCCCTCTCTCCTCCAGGCCTTCCAGCACCTGGTTAATAAAAGGCGTGTGGTCCAGTGGAGTCTGGGACCTTTGACCTCTCACCTGTTTGACCTGACTGAGATTGACTCCTGGGCTGACAACATGTCAGTGCTGGAGGTTATCGTGAGCAGCCCAAATAAAGAGGTAGAAAACAACAAACTAACTTTATTAGACATAAAGATGTTGATCTGATGATAACCGGGAATTAAAAATACATTTTGAAGGCGAGGAGTCTTCTGGAGGTGACTCCTGTGAGGCAGCTGGTGAATCTCAAGTGGAACCTGTATGGAAAATATTATTTCAGGTAATTTTTATTTCTTTTTGGTTTTATGGTTTAAGGTAAACTCCTCTCTTGTAGATAACCGGACCACAGTTTAAAGTGGATTTGTTCTTGCTTCAGGTTCCTGCTGTTACTTTACCTCCTGTACATCGGGACCTTCACCCTGTGTTGTGTGTATCGCCCCATAAAGGACAGGAACTTCACAGTGACAGACACCGATAAAACCATCATGGTCCAGAAAACATTCAAAGTGGGTTAAAGTTGTGACCGGATCTCAAGTAATTTATTGCATGTTCTTATAAATACGTTTTTATTTAGGTTTCAAAAGAGGCAAGGCATGAGATGCAGTGATTTGGGTGAAAAACTGAAGTTTTACAACATTTGCCCCCTGTAGAATATTTCAATTTGATGCCTCTGTTAAAGTATTCACAACCTCAAGACTTCCTTCACAACTGAACCACAACAGGGTTTATGTGGGATTCAGCTTTAAATCAATCAGTGGAGCAAAACTTTAAGATGTTCTTCACAGGTTTTCATTTGTTCATGCCCTAAATATATGGTTGCAAACATCTAAAGATTTGTGTTACTCTAAAGTAACACAAAGGTGTGAGTCAGCATCATGTAATGTGTTGGTCTGGACCTCTGCTGGGGGAATGAACATCACAGCATGTTTCATCCAGAATCTGTTAATTCTTGTTTGGGAGATTTCTACAGATTTTTATGGTACATAAAATATTTCTGTGAAATTCCCCAAACTTCATACAGATACTAATATTTTAGGGTCCATCTAAAAACCTTTGATGACAGATTAAAAGCACAGTGAAGGAAAAATTGTTTTGGTTTTTAAGTGAGTTCAGGCGTGAGATGTTTGCTTCCTAACACCCAGAAGGTTTTCTTCTTGTAAAATTATTCACCTTGTTGTCTTTCCGGATTGCTGCTAAACGTTTAATTTTTCTTTTCATTGAGCCACAAAAGCTGTTGCTAAAACATGTCTGACTTGTCCAGACTTCTGTATTTTTTATTTACTCCTCACGCTGAGTTTTGTAATGATGATGGTCATTTTTATGCACGACTCACCAGGTAAAACAGAACAAAACCAGCTGATAAATTTCCCCGAAGAGCTCTTTCGGGAAAGCCAAGGCTTTAAGGGCGCATTCACACCAGCCCTATTTAGTCCACTTTAATCAAACTCTAGTCAGTTTGCCTAGAAAGTCCGGTTTGTTTGGGAAGGTGTGAATGCGCAATCGAAATCTGATATGGACCAAAAAAATGAACTCTGGTCTGCCTAAAAACCTAGGTCTCAGTTCGGTTGAAGTGAACTCTAGCGTGGTTTGAATGCAGTGTGACCGTAAGCAGACCGGAGGCCGCTCCAAAAGCAGGAAGTGGACTACAGCGCAGGGCAAACAAATGCACATTTCTCATACCTCATACAGAGCCGTCAGCCACCTTGTGTGAAAAGCACTATTCTCCATGGTCTTCTGCCTCATCTTCTGCTCATGCTGAGTCCATTGCTGAAAAATGACAAAACAGAAATCCTAAAACCGCTAAAATTTGACACCACTCCGTTTTTGGTTTTATTTCCAGAAGAAGAAGAAGAAGTGTCTTCTTCAGAGATTTTTGTGTCCTTTCCTTCAGTGGCTGTGGCCAAGTGGTTAGAGCAGTCGTCCTCCAATGCAAGAGTTGGGGGTTCGAATCCACCAGCAGTCACATGCCGAAGTGTCTCTGGGCAAGACACTGAACCCCTCGTTGCCTAGGATGTTTGTCCCATGGGTGTATAAATGTGATCTAAAGCACTGATTAGTCTCTTTAGAATGATTTGTTCAATTAGCTTTGTAGAAATCTAGTAGCGTGCTGTATGAATGGGTAAATGAGGCACAGATTGTGTTGTAAAGCGCTTTGAGTATCTTCATAAGATAGAAAGGCGCTATGTAAGTACAGTCCATTTTAGTTTTTGTTGCAGCGTCACCACAGGCGAGGGGGGGAACAGGTTGGCTCGAATGACTCAGTGCAGTTTGAATGCAAACCGCACCAGCTGAAATGTAAACAAATGTTCTGAATATCGGTCCCCAAATTAACCGAGACTACCAGACCATCAGGTGTGAAAACACCCTAAATTGCTTTACTCAGTTTTCTCAGAAAAGGAACTTCAACTTGTTTTCCTCCATTCTTAGAATTTGGCATGTCTTAAAAATGAGGCAAAAAATAAAATAAAATAAAATCAAAAGGTGTAAACAACAAGTTCAGTTTATCCTCCCACTTATGAAACTATTCTCAAAAACCATATTTTTCCATCCCACTCAACATGTCTAAACATTACAGTCAACTCAATATAATTTGAAAAAACTTGTGATATTTCGGCTCACAGTGTTTCATTTCTCTCACTTCAGGAGAGTTATGTGACTTATGGGGACAGTCTGCGGCTGGTGGGAGAGATCATAAGTGTCCTGGGAGCCATTATCTCCCTGGTGCTGGAGGTCAGAGTGTGAATCATCTTCTACTGTATCTTTGTGTTTTTGATGTTACAGCACTAAAATATCTTCCCTACCTCCAACAGATCCCTGATATACTGAGAGTAGGAGCAAAGCGCTACTTTGGTCAGACGGCCCTCGGAGGACCTTTCCACATCATCCTGTGAGTTAAAACACGAGTCGTTGAATAGCAGCATCATATTGTCGCTGTGTTGTCTAATCCTGCTGCTGCTGTTTGGTCCAGCATCTGCCATGCGTCCTTGGTGGTGCTGCTGTGCGTGTTCAGAATCTGCGGGGTGCAGGCCGAGGCTGAAATCATGTTACTGAGTCTGGTGTTCGGCTGGTGCAATATCATGTTTTTCGCTCGCGGCTTTGAACTGCTTGGGCCTTACGTCATCACGATACAGAAGGTTGGTAAAAGTTTCTTGCAGGTTTTTGAGTTTGATTCCTTATCAAAACCACTGATATGTTTCTGAAGCTCATCTGCTTGTGTTTTCTGTATTTTTGTCCAATTTCCTCCTAGATTGTATTTGGAGATGTGATAAAATTCATGTTTATGTCTATCATTTTGCTCATGGGATTTTCCACCTGTGAGTATGTTCTCAAAAATACAGCAAGTCGACACCATACTTGACATATTAGGGTTTTATCGCAATCTTTACTGGTTTTGTTTTATTCTTCCAAGCCCTTTGGATGGTGTACATGACCCAGGATCCAAAGCAGAATCCTCTGTACGACTCCTTTCCCAACACTCTCTTCTCTCAGTTTGAGATCAGCGTGGGCATGGTCAACCTGCCAGTGGATCCGACCACCGAGTTAAACCCCATTGTCAACGTTTTGCATGTCGCCTACTCTATGGTTCTCTACGTCCTGATGCTCAATCTGCTGATTGCCATGATGAGCGACACACACTGGAGGGTTTTCAAGGAGAAAGATGAGCTCTGGAGGACTCAGGTAAGCACATAATCATAACCACTTCTTCATGAACACATCTCATCATAATATGTTTATGAGGACCAAGGACTACAATATAAACTCCAACAACTATACTACTGCCACAAAGAACTCTCGAAAATGTCTGATTGTGATGTTTTTATTGCTGGCTGGTATTCAACCCAATCCTGGTCCTCTCACCTCATGTAGTACTCCAACAGATCTTAAAAACATGTCAGGTTTACACATTGTGCATATAAATGTTCGTAACCTCCTTCATAAAATAGATATGGAAAGGATTTGGGCTTCTTCTACAGGTGCTGATTTTGTTATTTCTGAGTCTTGGCTAACTAAATCTATTCTGGACAAACATGTTTCAATTAAAGGTTTCAATATTTATCGTTCAGATCATCCCAGAAGAGGAGGAGGTGAGCCATATATGTCAGATTTAGCTTGGTAACACAACTAGTATTTACAAAATCAGCTCCTAAACAATTTTAAATCTTGGCCCTAAACATTGGACTGTCTGCTGGTCAATTGTTATCTGTTGCTGGCTACTATAGACTCCTTACTACCACATCTGAAAACCTATTGTCTTTAATTCAGCTCTTATCTAATTTACATCCCAATGAAATGGCTTTGGTAGGTGATTTTAATTTAGATTGGCTCTTTCCTGTGTCTGAGATCTTTATAGAATTTTGTTAATCCTCAAACCTCAGTCAGATCATTGATAGTCCCACTAGATCTAATCCAAAGTGCCCTGCCAAATAATCTCTCTTGGATCTTATCATCACAAACATATATAAATACACTGGGTTTGGAGTTCTTGCAAATGATCTAAGCGACCATTGTGTAATTGCTGCTGTTAGAAATACAAGAATGCCTTGTTTTTAACCTAGAATGATTCTAAAACAGAATTTGAAGCATTTTTGTGAGCAAGCCTTTCTTTGGGATCTGTTCCACTTTGACTGGTATCACATATCATTAATTGATGATATGAACCTTGCTTGGAACCATTTTCATAATAGTTTTATCCATTTTGTAAATAAATACGCTCTACTTCGCCAGTTCAGAGTAAAGGGCTGGAATATTCCCTGGTTTATCTCTGAGTTAGCTGACCTCTTGCACAGGAGGGATCAGCTTTGGGCAACAGCAAGACAGACTGGTTTGGACATCCATTGGTTGCAAATTCACCAGTTACAGAATTGTTGTACAGCTTCCATTAAAGCTGCAAAATGAAACGTTGGTTACGTACTGTAACCCCAGATTCTATGAATATAAGCGTAGCCCTTTAAGGCCTTCGCTTTAGTGGGTTTATCCCGTTATGCAGAGCATAAGCACTGAAAAAATTAGTCCACGCCCACCTGCTGTGTGGGCCCCACCCGGTCCGTATAAATTACGTTAAGAGCGGGAAATCGGCTCCCAAAATAGCTTTTTTCTTCAGCCATTTAGGAGCCAGTGAGGCCCGACGCTTAAAGGGCTACGCTTATATTCATAGAATCTGGGGTTACAGTACGTAACCAACGTTCTATGTCATATAAGCTTCGCCCTTTAAGGCCTTCGCTTTAGTGGGTAAAGGGCGAAGCCGATGTGGTCCTCGCCTCACTGGGTCCATTCGAACACAGTAAGAAGCGGAAGCTTGCCCAAAAAACGTCTTGTCACTCAGCTCCCCATGTGCATAACTACGCATCGCGTAATTATGTGCCATGCACAGACGCATGTTGAGTAACTATGCGTTCTGACAAAGCATGAATGCCCCGGAAAAACTTTCAACGGGAAGAAGAAGTTGAAAAGGGGGGGGGGGGGCATGAACCAACTGGTTCATGGTTGAACAGTATAAACAGATTAATGTCCATGAATTGATTATTGATCAAATGAACTGATTGGTAACAATAGTCATGAACTGATTAGTGACAATAAAACCAAAATCACAGACACGACTGTGACTGATAACAACATCTCACACTGTAATGCATGCAGACAGAAGTGAGCTTAAACCGAGTTCCATGAGAACAACAATATTCATTCTGTTAGAGCACTAAGGACAGAATGTGTCATGGAACGAGCCGTTACATCACGTAGGTAAAAGCGAATAAATGAGCAGGGTGATGACCATGCAGCCGCATTTCAAACGTCCTGCATTGACATACCATAATGCAGAGCAGTCGAAGATGCGATACCCCTGGTGGAGTGTGCTTTGAGGTTGACAGGAGGCCCTAAATCTGATGCTCTGTAGGCTTCAGAAAAGGCCTCACACAGCCAGTGTGACAAGCGCTGGATGGATAACGGGCGACCTGCAGATGCATCTCTATAATGCACAAACAATTGTTGAGTTTGAAACGCATTGCAGCTGTGCGCGCTATGTAACACGTCAACGCCCGCACCGGACAGAGAAGATGAAGAGATGCTTCTTCTTCTGATCTGTGAGGGGGGGGGGGGACCCCTCCAACGATATCGCTCTTGATTTAAAAGAGCTTGTGATGATTTTAGGCATAAAAGCTGGATTGGTCTTAAATCAGCTTAACTACCGTCAGCCTGGATTCTGAGATATGACGGAGCGACAAAGAAGGCAGATAAAAACACACTCTCTTAGCTGGTGTTAAAACCAGCAGCAGTGCTGTTTAAAGAGACAAGAATTTAAGTGGAACCTGATCCAAAGGCTCAAATGAAGCTTTGATCATGACCTGCAGGACCAGTATTAAATCCCACTGGAAACAATTGGGTGTGGGACAGACCTGCGTCTCTGTACACCTTTAGAAAACGTTTTATCAGAGGATGATAAAACCTGTTCTGTCTCAGAAACCTTCATGTCAGGAAGAGATGGCTGCAGCGTATGTTTTAAACGTGCTGGATGCAGATATCTATCCATCAGCTGCTGCAGAAAGAACAGCATGCCACCTAAAGAACATGAGGAGGCCTCTACATCCTTCTCTGTACGTCAGCACTGAAAAAGCTGTCCACTTTGATGTGTACATCGCTGTGGTAGATGCAACACGTGAAGCCTGAATTGTGCGCATTACATCCTGTGGGCAACCCGTCCTCTGTAAGAGGATTTGTTCAACGGCCAGACCACAGGTGCTGGCCTATTTCTGGGTAACTCCTGATCGCTCCTCCTGCTTGAAGGAGAGCATCCTCCCTCCATGGCAGTTCCCACGGCACTCCGACAGCAGACGTTTCAGGACTGGAACTATGGTGCACCCACGCGCACGGGGCCACCAGGAGAACTATCAATCCCTCCTCCTGAGCTCGGTTCAAGAACCGTAAGATAGGAGGGGGTGGAGAGAAACGCATACAGAAGCGTTTTGGGCCATGGACTGTGAACAAACGCATCCACCCCCAGAGGTGGTTCGTCTCATGGGCTCAGAGAAGCGCGTAATTGACACTGAGCGTTTCCCGTGTCACAACAGGCCCACAGCCGCTATATCAATCTGAGACAAATTGCTCCATCAGAGGATGATAGAAGTTGTTCTGTCTACGACAACTTTGAGACAGGAAGAAAACACGGTGGCAGCATACAATAGTCGTGCTGGACACCAGATTTTTGTCCCTTGCCTGCTGCAGAAGGACAGCATGTCGTCCAATGGACATGAGGTGGCCTCTACGCCTTTCTATACAGCAGCGTTGATCAAACAGACCACTTGGTGTGAACAGCGCTGTGGTGGGTGCAGCACGTGACTCCTGAGTCGTACGCACTACATCTTGAGAGATCCATCCTCCCAAAAGAACCGCACAACGTTCAAAAAACATAGGTGCTGGCCTATTCTGATTAATTCCTGATCGTTTCTCACCGCCTGGGGAGAAGCGTCCTCCCTCCAACGGCAGGTTCACGAGTGCCCTGATAACAAAAGTCGTAAGGCCTGGGAACCATGATGCGTTCATGCACTTGGAACAGAGGGGCTGCCAGTCCTTCCTCCTGAACTTGGTTCGGAAAAACCCGTGATACCGGGGGAAGAGAGAAGGTGAAAGGCATTACGACCACAGGCTGTGAGTAGGCATGTCCACCCAGCGGTGGATCGTCCTATGGTTCTGCGATAATATAATTGACATTGAGCGTTCTCTCGTGTTGCCACACATCAGCAGACGTTGGCAGGATTCTACCGTGTCTGAGCCTTAGCTCTGGGTGGGATACATGCGATGTACCCACTCCAAATGGAGAGCGGATTGGATGTGCCCACACAGTATCTGTCTCACAATGTGGCACATGGGTTGAAAAAATGCATACATTTCCTGTTAGTATGTATGCGACAGACGCTTGTTGTCTGAAAATCAAAACCCCTGATGATTCTGCAGCTCAAGGTCAGTGTTGAGTCACATTCAAGGATCCCGTGCGACACTCCAAAAAACATTTAAAACAGCTGCTGTGTGGAGCACAGAGCCCCCACAGCTTGTTAAATGTGTGTGACGTAGGTCTGCTGACAGAAAACAGCTGATATCACTCAACCATTCACGTGAATTGCACTGCTGCCACCTGTCTGAACAAGCTGCTCAGCAGCCACAGGTGTCCAGATAATGCATAATTAAAATGGAGTGTTGTTCTCACAGCTCAGAAAATTAACAATCTCAAATAAATCTCATCTTTCCAGTTCGTTTGGATCAGGAAGTGATAAGAGAGAACTGGTGTTTCCTCTCCATCTGAGGCTCTAGAAATTACATTTAAAACAGAATTTCCAGAGCTTCTGCTAGAGGGGACGAGATCTGTTCATAAATGACAGAAAAAACGTCACAGGGTTCCCCACACCGGGGTTTTAGCTGAACTGCAGCGTGAGTCCGGGATGAAAACGGTTCGCCCATCCCTCTGGGAAACGCGCGTTCATTGCCACCCGTTTATAAGTTATAAAACGAGCACGCATTATGCTGTGAAACTCGCATACATGCTGATGTGAACTGGAGCGCGCTGAGTGAGAGCGCAAGACGTTGTGTATTGCTGCGGGAAAAAACAGCTTTGTTTATGCTGTGTGCAGCTGCACCGTGTAACACTCGGGAGCAGGTTCACATATGAGCTGACACGCCCTGAAGGGTTG